CATTTTCGGGACAAGTTGTAATCAACAGCATCGATAGTTTACACGAATATTGTTAATATTAGTCATATTTGTTTAAATTTACATATTGTTTTATTTTGATTCATTGCCATGATATACATACATTAGTAGGATACTGTTGAACAGACGATATTTCATGCGTTATTAGAATCAGAAAAATCCAAGTTGCTTGTAGTTTACAAACATTTTTGTAAATCGTCATTGTTAAATCGCCTATTTTGTTGTACTAATAAGACCCAGAATATTATAAAAAAAAACATCCTTGGTTTTTAAAAGCCAATCCGAAATAGGGAAACATTATGTGATAAAAAAAACTAAGTACAGCATAGTTTCATATTGTCAATGTATTTTTTTTTGCTTTCATACCTGTTTAATAGAAATCAAGGATGTTTTTTTTATTAAATATGGATTTTATAAAGTTCCACATTTACAGATGGAATAAGGACATTTTACATAAATGTTCTTAAAGTACAAGTAACTTCAACTTTCCTTATTTGAACAAAACATTGAATATCGGGATTTTATTTGTCCAACAAAAGGTGGAAATAAAAAAATTTACATGAACGCCTCTGAACAATATATAACTTACGTTTTTTTTTTTCATTCGATGACAAATAAAGAAAAACAAAATTCACCAGCATTCTACTAATATATATCAATGAAATAAAAATAAAGATAAATATAAACTAAAAAAGTATGGCTTATATTCGCTTTATTCATGTCACATAACAATGTTGTTGTTTATAATTTTGTTCATAAAATGCAGATATAATGACATTCGTTGTACATATAGGTAAATCATAGGACCGCATATACATGATGTATTTTCAGTTTATAATAAAACAATTACGACCTAGTTTTTCGTAATTTTTTTTACTCATGAAACAGGCCGTTAATTTTAATGTTTAAATTGATTTATATGTATCATACAGGGGCCTTTCCATAACTGGGAATGCGATATTAGACTAGGTCATTCTTGACTGCAATACTATTAATTATAGTTGCCAGCCTTCTTCGTCATTATGTACAAGGCAATAACACCACATCGTCTTATATTTAGATATAACACGTCCTGTAAATAAGAAATCTGCAATATATGTTTTAAATTCTATGATCCATTGTTTACCCATATACTTCTGGAAATCAAAATAAGACTTGAAACACAAACAAACAGTTTCCACTTCAGTCATCATAATATTCTTGTTTTCCTTCCAGTGGTCAGTTTCGACATGGAGAACATAAACAACTATCTCGTCCTGTCCAACTTCATGCTAATTAAGTGTATTGTTATTTCAATCTGGAATCTATCATTATCAACAAATCTACAAAAGCAGCTAATCATAATCACACTGTTCAGCGACTACATATTCCAGTTGTGCACCCTTTTACAATAATTATTCAATTTTATGCAAAATTAACCGGATAAAAGCTTGCTTCTTGGAACCTCTGTTTTCTGGAAGTGGTCTTGTAACTGTAACTAGTGTTTGATATTGGTGAATAAATAACATTATCACTACGTCTTTGGATTGCTTTATAAAAGTGGTTATTTTTTAGATTATAATGAAAATAAAAACTATCGAAAGTGATGCATACCTTGCGCTTTCTGGATTAACAGTTTACAAAATGACAACATCTTGAATGCATTGAAAGTTACATAAACCTGTTTGGAGCCATATGATCAAAATGGACCTTAAACACAAATCTTCACCTTAATTATACTTGGACATGCAGTGCGATTGGAATGTCCACAAGTTGACTGTGTATCCACCATTTTCTACATTAAGAAATGTCTGTACCAAGTCTTGAAAATAAAAGTTGTTTTCCGTTGGGTTTATGTGTTTGAGCTTTTGATTTTGCCATTTTATAAAGGAATTTACGTTATGAATTTCGCTTGCAGTTCGGGATTTTTGTTGATTTGTGTTTTTGTATATTTGGAAGTACGTGAATGTTCGACAAGACTATTAACAACTATTAGTTTGCTGTCCAACGCGACGATCTTGGTGGTTTCCGGTAGTTGATGTGTGTCATGGTGTTTTTTTTTTTCAGCGGTGCTTAAAGATGCAATCAGACCGTTGGATACTTTTTTGGATTATTTCTTATTTTGTATTTTCGGTACACTGTTACTGTTTTGGTTTTGAGAACAGTTGAAGAACGTGCCATGCACTTTTCCTTTGGTTTTTGGATGATACCTACCTCATTTGGTATCATATTGCATAAACTTATCAATCTACCTCGTACCGTTTGACGTTTTAAATAGCTGGGATGTTGTATGATAGTGTGGTTACCACATATGTTTCATATATATACAATAAATTCTTGAAATGCACTGACTGTTAAAGAGATGCATTTGCACCTGTTTTGTCGAGTTGCGTTTTGATATCATGAGTTTGTTAAGAACAAACATGGAAATTGGCTGGTATCATCTGATTTTTCACCACTCCAATATATGTTACAGAACTGGAAATAATGCATTAACGTATTACTTTAGGAAAATCAAGTTGAATATTGTGTGTATACCACTATATCATACTGTACACAGTATATTTACGATATTAAACAATTTAAATATAAGTAAACATATTAACGCAGTCTAGTAAAACTACTTAACATTAAACTTGTCGAATTTCCTGTTCAATATTTAAAACGCCTTCATATTTTTTTGCAATTGAATACTTTTAGATGCATTAATAAAATGTGTTATATGTCATAAAATTTCCCTAACTTTTGACAGGTGCATGTCCTGCTTGCATAGACTACTTGAAAAATGATGTTTGTTCAAGGATGTCATATACTATTCTTTACTTTAGTTTTCCTTGTTTTGACATTAAGTTGGATGATGTTTTCGGCTCGTTTGCTAACTTGTTGTCCTTGATTATACGCATGTGCAACATTTGTCAGTATGATAACTGTTTCAATTTATTATAAGCATTATTATAATTTGTTTTTGCATGTATGCAGTCAAAATCCGTTTTCGTATCCAATATTTTTCTGATGAAAATCTTGAAGTTTCTTAACCATTTGAATCAAGTTCTATATGTCAACTGAATTAGTATTGTAATTGTAAGTATAACATGTTCAAACTAAGGGATAACAAATGCTACCAATAATTGCAGAATAACAATGAATGTTTTTGTTCTATTTTAAGTAGCAGTCTGGCTAAGAATCATGCAAGGGGTGATACATCCATAGTCTAGGATATTTTTTTGGTATAGTTAAATTGATTAAACCCAAGTCAAAATTATGAAAAACGATATTTTGCACACTAAAATTCATGATGTTGCTATGGTAACAACTCTACCTTAGCAACAAGGTGTTTAATGGCCTTAAAGACCCTAAATGTGTATTGTTTTTGAATTAGAAATAATGGAATAAAGATCAACTCTTTTAGAAGTAAATATTTAATGTTATAATATATAATGTTCATCTTAAACAGAAAGCATTTTAAAAGATGGATGCTAGCCAAGAAACTTGGTTACCATGGCAACGAATTTGTCAAATATTTCATTTAACGAAAAATCACAAAAAATGGTAATTTTCAAATTCCATTACCACCCTAGACCAGATGAGTAGAATTAAGTTGATCAAACACACTATTGCAGTTGACTCTTATCTACAACATATCAAAAATAAAAATATGTAGCCTGGCACAGAATTTTCAAAAAAAATTGATCATGACTACATTGTTTTTACCATATTTAGTTACTTTATTTCTTGTTATTTTTTAAAATTATGCTTTCTGTATACTACCATAGCCACTTTTTTCTTCCAGTTCAAGAATAATGTTTTTCTTGTATATTATTTGTAAAGCTATCTAAAGACACAAGCTAATTAAATTTCATAATTGGTACCGTGGGGTAGGGTTGGGCGGGGTGGGTGGAATTAAAAAAGATAATTATTTCCTTCAAAATTAAGAAAAAAAACACAAATTCAACATTGAGCAGAAACAAAATTGCACTCAAAAACCCCAACTTCCTGGTAACACACAAAAATGATTAGTAGGGGCCATTGTTTAAGGGATAAATAAAAGATAATTGGGTTGAAAATGTATTTTCAAGGTTAATTAGACCCATTTTTAGAAAATTGTAAAAAAAAAAAAAATTCAAAATTTGTAGACACTGTACTAGTTATATATTGGAAAGTACAATGTTATTAAATTCTGGCAATATGGTTTTTGTATATTGCAAAGAATATTCTGTAACTTTTCCAGAAGTTATTAATACATACAAAATACTAGTCTGGTTATGGCATGTTATATTGAAGTTACTTCTATTTTGAAAAGTCTTTAGTGATACCTGTATCTGCAAAATAAACTATCCAACCAGAAACTGTCTAAATGTCTAAACAAACCAGGTTTTCCTAACAATCACTGATATCATTATTAGAAATGAACTTGACCTATATTTTTCTAGAAAACATCAGTTATCATTTGAAAACCAATGGTTGAGCTGTTCACAAAAATTGCATGGAATCAACAAGGAGTACAATCACCAAATCCAGTGTTCTCCCTAGATATTTCATATAGCATCCTGGAACACAGGGAAATTTGAAATACCATCTTGTTTCTAAAAATATAGCATCACATCCATAACAAAATTTATAAGAAAACCAATTCAGATAGCATCACATTTAAGATTATAGCATCACATTACCATGATGCTAAAAGGACCTCGGGAGAACACTGCAAATCCATCAAGCACCACATTAATTCTAAACATCAAAGATTGTCGATATCAACCTTTGCATCCATTTTGTCACAATTAACAACATATTTTAACACCTAACGAGAGTTGAAACACAAGTATTTAATACAGAGTATTTCAGAAAACAACATTTCTGAAAAAAAAAATCGCAAAAACGAAACAAATCATCAGATTTGTATATTTTTAATCAGTAATGTTTATCAGAACAAGTACCAGTATGAATGAGTTATATTGTTAATAAATATTATTGGTTATCAAAGACTATTGTTTTGACCCAATTTGTAATTTTATTCATACAAAAATCAAGTACCTGTCCAATTCTGATAACAATAACTATTTCAAGAAATTCTGATATTGAAGATTGACACAAAATGCAACAGTATTACAGACAAATTCATATAAAATATAAAAAAAACAGCAAGGTCACTTAATATGAATTGCAGGTCAATTTGGCCTTATTTCTCAGCATCTCTTGATTTAAAATAAGATCTATCTGTTTACCAAGTTTCAGTCTAATATCACCATAAGACTTGAAAACTTCAGCATGAAATATTACCATTTGTTACAAACATCCATTACCACAACATAAGATACATCAGTATACCAAGTTTAAATTCCATTTCATTTACTTACAGAAATTAGACATTTGGTTCCTATTTCTATCTAATATGTATCTGTATCAAGCAGTTTATTATTCCAATACTATAGTATCATTTTTACCTTAGTAAAATGGACTGAAATTTCAAAACTCAACACAAGTTAATAAAGAGGTCAATTTGTTAATAATTCATCTAATATCGACTAGTAACAGAAAAATCTTACAATAGTAAATATGCAGTGCAAGAGGTAAAAATTCTCAGAACCTGGTTTCTTGATTCACACAAAATGCAAAATTCAATTTTAAGGAACACTCATGAAACATAACATCAAAAACAAGCTGTTTAACAGTCTGTGATTGCAGATCACAAATCTTTATTGATACAGCAAATTCAATTAAACTTCGCAAATAGCACAGTTGCAGTATAAAAAAGTCTAAAAACTTGTCATTTTTAGTTACTGAAATATTGACTTCAACACAACGCGAGATCAAAGTTACTCAAGAATGGAATGTAGGTCAATAAAACCTTGTGTATCCTGTTTTTATTTTTAAATACTATCAAATAAAAATGCTTTTTTTCCAAATTTCTTTGAATTAACATTTGTATTTGATATTTTAAAATTTCCAAAATATAATCAAGCATAAGGCTAAAGATGTCCCTTTTACATTTTCTGCTGGTACGTAGGAATGAGACTGTATATAATTTAATAAATTATGCATCAACTCATTCATTGCTGTGAACATTGTATTAAATCACAAGCAATAACACAAGCATGTGTTCAAAAGGTGCACACTGTTCAAATGGAAATTTTAGAGGTACAGTTTGATTAAAATACAGATTCTGTATCCAAGCTTTGCTTATAAAAGGATCTGACAATCTCCTTTCCACTGTCTGCTATGGAAATAATTACACCAGCCAATGAATTGTCACCTTTTAAAATGTTTGAAAGTGTGCATCTTGTTAGTCTTGTATTATTTTTAATTTTAGTTTCTTGTGTACAATTTGGAGTTTAGTATGGCGTTCATTATCACTGAACTAGTATATATAATTGTTTAGGGGCCAGCTGAAAGACGCCTCCGGGTGCGGGAATTTCTCGCTGCATTGAAGACCTGTTGGTGACCTTCTGCTGTTGTCTGTTCTATGGTCGGGTTGTTATCTCTTTGACACATTCCCCATTTCCATTCTCAATTTTATACATGTAATACCAATTATAATATGACGTCCTTATAACGCTTGGTAAACAAAGCCGTATTCTAATTAGCACAAAATATGTTTAACAAATGCGCACAAATTTACTGTTTATATTCTCGTTGTTTTCAATGTTATTCTAATAAAATATCTATATTTAGCAGCTAACATAAACTTTTATTTTATGTGTTTATCAAAAACATATATTTACCCTGTCTTTTGTTTTAAAACTTATTAATATTAAAATGTAATGTACAGAATCCAGGGGAGGAAACGAAAATAGCCAAACATTTTTAAGGTATTTTGTGCGCTTTGACCTATAAAAATACTGTATTTGTCCTATTAGAATCGTAATAATTCCTTCATGTCATGCTCTATGCCCATTTTAACATGGGTAGGCATTATATTTGAAAAATATCGACAAATATAATGCCTACCCATGAAGGAATTATTTTTTGAATAAAACAAAGGATCCCAAAAGGTCTTTCAAACAGAAAGTAGAATGGAGGGTTGTCAGATCCATGTAAGCAAAGCTTGGATACCTGAATTTAGAAATTAAACATCATTATTGCTAATTTCAATTGCTTCTATAGAGTTTAAGTGAGCAACTACAGATTCAAGGTCGGCATCATCAACAGTTTGTCTTCTTTTCGGAGGAATTTTAGCCATAACAGCAAGTCTGGAGAAAAAAGAGGCTATTTGCCCTTGTTGTAGATATTCATGTGGTTGAAACATTTTATTTCCCTCTTCATCTAAACATACTCTCATATGATTAGCCACATCGACAGCATTAACTTTCTTGCCACCCTGTGAACCACCTTGAAAGATTCCCCTGAGAAAGGTCTTTACTTTGTCAGAGAAACGAATGATTTTCTTGTCTTTACTAAGAGCCCATCCCATTGGTAAATCTATTGTTTTAGTATTTTCAAGCACCACATTATTTCTATCCATCATAACCTTCTCTGTAACATCATCACAGCATTCTTTCCATTTCAATTTAATTTCATCAAAAGTAGATATTTTGTTTAGTATAAATTTGTGTTTTCAAACAAGCTGATGTGCTTCAAGGCCAGAAAAGGTCTTGAAAACTCTAGTGCAACCCTCTTCTGGACAATACAAAACATCTTCAGTACTGATTAAATTTTCTGTTGGTGTGTTTGGCTCTAATTGTTCATCATGGTGATCTGCTTCAACTTTCCCTCTACTATACAAGGTTCTTTAAAATCCTCTATTATAATAAGCCCTGTGTCTCCTTGTGTTACTGGAGACATACTCTTAACTTCATCCTTTGACATGACTGTGCCTTCCCCAATACCAAAAGACCTCCAAGTAGTCATTGATAAATCTGTATTCAAAGAAATGTTGTTAAATTTGGTGATTCCTTTCAAACAATGGCTAAAAGAGGTCTACTTCAGGATATCAATCTGTACATTTGCTGCCTGGCAACCTTTAATGCCTACAACAAAAAGATAAAAAATCTAATGTCAAACAAAATTGTACATGTAGCTCACATCAAGTGGTAATTTCATGTTAAAGCTATATGATATTAATCCTGCTTTGTTCACACACACTAGGTCAGATACATTTTTTCTGAATCTGAGATGACAAGGCCAACTCCTAAATTATATATGCTAATAACCACTTATAAAATGTTTGCTTTGATTGGACAGGATTGTTTGGCACTAAATATTAGTATTAGCATTTTTATATTTTTGCAGCTAAATGGCATGATATATGTGTATTTTCTTGTTGTTTTTTTTTATATACAGAAAGGCATTTAACTTACAGACTTAAACAAATTGCTACATTAGATTTGTATCTGGGTAGAATTAAAAAATATGTCTCTGAGTCATGTATGTATTTACACATTTCTGAAATGAAAGATATACTAGAATGACACATTCAAATTAGTTAATTAAGATTGATTATAAATGAAGACAATTTTTTTTAAATTATTGTTAGACCTATAAAAATGTCCACAACATTATCATGATTATAGCTAATTGCAAGAAATGTTCTGTTTATGGGTTTTCAGCAAGCTTTAATTTCATAATCTTATACAAACCTCCAAATGAATCAATGGCAGCTTTCATTTCTGTTGCATTTCTAACATTATTTCCATTGGCCACATACTGTCTAATTCTTCCACGCATATGGGCTATTTTCGCATCACAATATGATTTGCCACACTGGGCTTCACTAAAGTCATATCTTGATATATGTATGCCTGAAAAATATAATATAAAGTTATTAAAACAATCCATGGTCCTCAATGAAATATGAGAAATGGACTCAATCACAAACTTTATCAAAAGTCAGTCATGCCTGACATTGTGACATAATATAGAGTTATACTGCTTTACTTGCAAAATGACCTTAACTGAATGAGCACACATCCTTTATCGATAAAAAAAATGTTTTTACCAAAAGATTTGATCCTTTTTCAATTATGGCTGATTATAAAGCTTGTTTTAAGTTTTAATGATTGAAAAGAAACATGAGAAAGGTGCATCATTCCATCTAAGTTACAGGAACAAATACAGGATATTTTATTCAGTTTCATTTCCAGAATAAATTATTTTCCATTTCAAAATTTCCTGCATATTTAACTTGATCATCTACGGTTTTGTTAAACCAAAATTTGAAGAATCAGGTCCTATAGAAACTTTAGGCCAGCCCTATAATGTTGATATCTAAGTGACGATGGAAGGACAGAGTGTCATGGAATGAAAACACTATACCTTCTGCAACATCTCTGCTTGATGTGATACTAGTTCATGAAAAAAAGTATTTGTTATATGACAAAAGCACCTGAGATCCCCCCACAGTTTTTGGTGACGTTCGTGTTCCTCAATCTTTAGTTTTCTATGTTGTTTTTTGTGCACTATTGTTTGTCTCTTTGCCTTTTTCATTTTTAGCTAAGGCGTTGTCAGTTTATTTTCTACTTATGATTGAGTTAAAATGTCCCTTTCCTATCTTTCGCCCCTCTTTTGTCTATATATTTCATTAACAAATATTACCTGTTCTTTCACTTATGCCCATGAGTGATAATTAAAGATTTCCACAATGATAGCATCCTGCGTTATCACTTCTTAAGTACACTGTATTTATATTTGGAATCTGAATTTTCAGTGTGCATATAAGGTGTTCTAAAATGGATGCTACAGAAAACCAGTCTTGCTTAGCTGCATCAAAGATGTGAGCATATGTTCTGTGCTGAAAAGGAATAAGAACCATGATTTAATCTGGTTATTTTCAATGAGGGGATATGTTTTATTCAGACATTCATTGTATTTAGTGGACTTGTGTTTGATGCTTAAAACTATTAAGCAACTTTAAATCCTTTATAAATAAAATAAAAAATAGTGAAAAAAAAATGGCTTCCAGTTTTTTTTTTGGTAACCTGTCAGTAGCTCAACAACATTTTTGGTTCATTTTTTAGTGACCTAGCTTAAATTGTCCTAATCTTTTCACAATATGAATCTTCTTAGTTCTATTTACAATGATAAACAAATAATGAATACTGAAACATAGTAATAATAGCTGTTTGTTAAACATTTATCTAAATAACATAAAAGAGCATGAATGGATTTTAATGTCAATTTTTTTTTGGTTATTTTTCATTAATTCAGATTTCTCCATTTCTTTTAATTGCTTTTATTGGTCATGACACAAATACATATTGTTTTTGCCTGAAAGGAATTCTAGATTTATGTAGAGTTTGTATTTACCTTGAGATTATTCAAATCATCTTTAAAAACGCATACAGTGACGAGCCAATTTGTCCCCTTTTGACCATACCAGTCACTCTGTTTCTCTCTAAAAGACATGGGCAAAAACTTCATAGCCCAGTCTAGTATAATGAGTGCTTCGTCTTTCTTCAATTCCTCCAAAGTTTTTGTCCGCCCTTTATCTTGGTTAATAGATCTAACAATGTGTTCTTTCCATCTTGCTATGTTGTTCTCTGATATATCAATGTCCGACAACATTTCTAATTTCTTCTCTTCAGTCAAATCTGAAACATAATGCAAATAAAATAAAATAATATTTGTTTAAAGGTTGTGCAAATGATACTAATCACTAGAAAGCCCTTTAAAATGTGTCTGTTGTGGGTTGAATGAAACATGAATATGTACATGACAAAATCCTATTCTATACAATATATCAAGTTTGTGACCACACCTGATCAGACCTTTAGGAATTAATGAAATGAACTTAGTTTTCTCATTTGAATTGTTTTACATTTGTCATTTTGGGGCCTTTTATAGCGGACTATGCGGTATGGGCTTTGCTCAATGTTAAAGGCCGTACAGTGACCTATAGTTGTTAATTTCTGTGTTATTTGGTCTCTTGTGGAGAGTTGTCTCATTGGCAATCATACCACATCTTCTTTTTTATATTATATTTTGGCAATGCACTTCTGATCATACTTTTCTAAAACTGTTTATTTTGTCTTTAAACTAAATATGTTGGATGTGAACTGATTAATTCTTTAGTATTGGAGACTTTTATCATTCCATCATGATAAGTAAAGCAGGCAATACATTTCAGCCTGTGTATTCTAGCTTTTCCATACAAATCATCTTATAAATAAATCTTTTCTTTTAAAATAAATGATTTTCACTACAATTCTGTTTAATTCAAGATCAGTATATACACAAAACAGTATAAAATAAAATGCTCCGCAGGGCGCAGCTTGATACGACTGCAGAGGTCGAACCCTGAACAGTTGGGGCAAGTATGGACACAACATTCAAGCTTGATACAGCTCTGAATTTGGATTGTGATTAAATATTTGACACAGCATAGGTTACTGACACAGAATGAATGTGGTCTAAGAACTTAAAAATTTTAAATTGGACATTCACCTATTATGGTCCAATATCCAAAATCTAAATACATGGTTAGATTCAGCATATCAAAGAACCCCAAGAATTCAATTTTTGATGAAATCAAACAAAGTTTAATTTTGGACCCTTTTGACCTCAATGTGGACAAAGTTGATAACAGGGCCCAAAAATCAAAAATCTAAATACATGGTTAGATTCAGCATATCAAAGAACCCCATATATTCAATTTTTGTTGAAATCAAACAAAGTTTAATTTGACCCCGATTTGGACCAACTTGAAAACTGGGCCCATAATCAATAAACTGCTTCGCTGAGCGCAGCTGGATACGCCTGCAGAGGTCCAACCCTGAACAGTTGGGGCAAAAATGGACACAATATTCAAGCTTGATACAGGTCTGAATGAATTGAATTTATATTCAATTAAAGATTTCTTGCTGTTGTGCAATACACTATGCTGTTGTGCAATACACTATGCTGTTGCGCAATACTTAGTAAATCTGTTGTCAGATTATAAACCCCCAAAATCAATCCCAACTTTCCTTTTGTGGTATTGAACCTTATGGTAAAATTTCATAGAGATCCATTCACTGAAACTAAAGTTATAGTGCGAAAACTAATGTGTCTTCGGATGACGACGACGCCAACGTCATACCAATATACCACCGCAAAATTTTTGCGGTCGTATACAAATGAGAACTTACTTCTTTCGTTCGATAAAAGTAGTTTCAGTTCTGATATAGCATTTGGAAACAAGTTGCATCTATCACACATTACAAGATGACTGTGTTGACATTGGACTTTCAAATTTGGACTGCTGCTGTCACTAAGAGCATATCTGATGCAGTGGTCAGGACAGGGATCATCCATCTGTACATGCAGCTTGAAATCGGTCTTCAGATACACCTTACTTGTATGAATTTTCTTATTAATGTCTTGAATTTTCTCATTGTCTTCAATGGAATGAGATTTGAGATCAGAAATCATCCTTGAAAGATATTCATATGCTGCTGCACCATCTGCTGCAATATTGTCTAATCCCTTAAGACTCATTCTTTTTGATGCTGGACATGACTGAAGTATTTTATACAAGGTTGACATGGATAGGGATTGGAATTCAGATTCTTTACAAAAAGCAAGGTAAGTTTTAATGAAAGTTGAATGGCAAAGAGTTCTAACAACATCTGGTATCTGAATGACTTCACCATTCTGAAGTTTCAAGTCCCTTGTTCCGAAAGAGCATACCTGGAAAAAAAATATAAACAATACATAAGGCTTAGGAACAGGGTGACCATGAGGCTTTACACAACATTTCTATCCTGTTTCAAGTCAAGTACACATTTAGATCATACTTCAAAACAATTAATGTATAGTTATTAAACTGCAACTCTTAAAATAAAATAGTTTGGATTAAACCATGCATTTTTTGTTTAAAGCGAACAATGTAAAAATTCTGCTAAACTATATTTTTCATTGAGGTCATAAACACTAACATGTATGATATATATGTAAGATAAGATGATTTCAAATTAATATGGCTGTTAGACAACATAATCTAATTACAAAAATATCCTGTAAAATTTACTATGCAAAAGATTCAAGGTCAAGACTAGGGCTAAAAGAAGATGTGCAAATTTCGATACAGCTGTCTACCATATAATATTGAGTTACCATTAGTGATTTACCTTCAACTAACCTAATCAAAAACTTTAACATGCAAACTAAGCAAAAATTTCAAAGTCAATAAACCATGACTTAAAGGGGTGTGGTCAAATAATATCAATGGAAATGAGATGTGCCGATGATAATACAATGCATACCAAATATCATTTTCCCTTTTAAACTTAATTAATCACAAAAAATATTAATTACTTATGAAATAACAGGCTACATGTCAAGAGAAAATATTTAGCTTTTTTTTTTGTCTAGAATTCAATAATTACCTGATTAAATGTTGGATTAAAAAAGAACTCTAATGCATGTGCAAGTTTATCTTGGTCAAGTCTCTGTCAGAAAAAGTAACCTTTTTTTGGAACAGGTACACCTGCAATTATAATATTATTTGAAATTAAATTGATAAGTCATTATAAGCTACACAATATTTTTTTATGTGTCTGTTCCCAACCAAGAGCCTATTGTTTGATGGTTAATGTCTGATATAACAATAGTGAATGTATTAGTATTAACCAATGCAATTTATCTTTTTCAATGTTCTTAGATTATTTTACTCTGGTACCTATATCTCTCTTTTGTTTGTGTGTATCATATTTATTTTTTGTTTATTATCTTGTACATACATTAGGCATTTAGTTTTCTTGTTTGAATTGTTTAACATATATGTCATTTTGATCCTTTTATAGTTGACTCTGCTGTATGTGATTGGCTCACTGTTGAAGACTGTACAGTGACCTACACAAATGTATAGTGGTTTATTTGTGTGTCATTGGCAATCATACAGCATCTTAGTTTCATATAGATATATATATATTTGTTTGAATCAACACAATGATTTACCTTTGCCATGTTCTGAGGCATGTAGTCGTGCTTGGTCTATGCAGTATGTACTTAATCCAGGAATCATGTCCTGCAGTTCTTTCTTTGTGTATTTCTGGCAAATCATTGACAGGAGTTGTCTTTTTGTATGCCCATTTGATGATTCATGGAAAAGATGGACTATCAACTGAACCATATCAGTACACCTGGTTTCCTGATCATCACTTTCATCTGGCTGGATAACTTTAAGCAGCTTCCTCTCTTGACCTGGAGCTATGCAGCTAAGTACAACAGTGTGTGTTTTTCGCTTCACAGCCCTCTTAGATGACTCTTTAAGGTGTTCATAATCAGTTCTTAGTTGGAACTTCAATGAGCTTATGGAACCTTTTGATATTGTCTGTATTGTACTATTAATGTCATCTAAAGATGTGTCCATTTCATCACTCCATGTTGATATCTGGGATAAATTGTCACTTTGGGTAGATGCAGACAATTGCTAAAAAAAAATTAAACTATTGGAGGATTTGATACTAACATTTGTAGGGTGACAGACATAACCATTCCATAAGCCTATTTAGCACTTTGTGCAGCATGTCATGAAATTATACTCTTACAAAAGTATACATTTATTTGCACAAAATTACTTACAAAAAAAAAATAAATGGGGAATGTGTCCATGGGACACAGATGATGCCCCCACTTGTATATCATATAAAGTTATAAGGGGACAAAACTGAAGAACGTTAAAAGTGAAGCTACCCAAATTTATACTTGATCAGAGTTTTGTGGAAATAAGTATTGTGTATAAGTTTCATAACATTTGGTTGAGGCAAACTTTAGTTAGAGAACAGAAACGAAAAATTTGGCAATTTTTCCATTTGTAAAGGGGCATAACTCTAGAACAAAAAAAGTGATACCACTAAAATTCCATCTTGATCTGTGTTTTGTTGTAATAAGCATTGTGTATAAGATTCATAACATTAAGTTGAGGAACACTAAAGTTGAAGAACAGAAACAAAAAAAATCAGCAATTTTTCCATTTGTAAAGGGGCATTACTCTAGAACGGTTAAAGTGACACCCCATAAATTAAAACTTGATCTGTGTTTTGTGGTAATTTGAAATTGTGTATAAGTTTCTTAACATTTGGTTGAGGCACACTAAAGTTAGAGAACGGAAACTAAAAATTCAGCAATTTTTCAATTTGTAATTAAGGAATGACTGTAATATTTTTTCTGTCTATGAAGAAATAACATCAAAAATGTGGTGCACACTGAATAACCCGCGTAGCGGGTTATTTTAAAGTGTGCACCACATTTTTTATGTTATTTCGAATAGACAGAAAAAATATTACAGTCATTTCTTATAATTTAATTCTAAATTCCATTTTAAACCGGAGTAAACCATGAAAAAACGTTGATGACGTCACGGTCACATGACAAAATTATGTCTATGAGCTGATAAGCAAAACAACGTCAGCCAATCAGAAGACGCGTTACATCCAAAATTAAATTATAGGGGCATAACTCTAGAACGGGTTAAGTGACACCACCAAAATTCAAACTTGATCTGTGTTTTGTGAAAATTAGCATTGTGTATAAGTTTCATAAAAAAATAGAGAATGGAAACAAAAAAATCAGCAATATTTCATTTTAAAAGGGGCATAACTCTAGAACGGTTAGAGTGTTGCCCCCAAAATTCAAATTTGATCTTTGTTTTGTGGTTCAAAGCATTTTGTTTAAGTTTCATAACATTTTGTTGAAGCAAACTAAATTTAGTCTTAGATGCATGATTTTTTTTATTATTTGTTAGTGGCTTTGAACTAGCTGTCAGTAACTGCAAGTACTCTGAGATCTGTAGTTAGCGTCTTTTTGTTGTTGGGATATACAAGAACCCGGCTACGTCCACTCTGTGTTTTGATAGATGTAAATACATCGGACTCGGACTTCTCTTAAACTGAGTTTTACTGTGCGTACTGTTGTACGTTTGTTTTTTCTACATTGGCTAGATGTATAGGGGGAGGGTTGAGATCTCAAAAAACATGTTTAACCCCGCCGCATTTTTGCGCCTGTCCCAAGTCAGGAGCCTCTGGCCTTTGTTAGTCTTGTATCATTTTTAATTTTAGTTTCTTGTGTATAATTTGGAGTTTAGTATGACGTCCATTATCACTGAACTAGTATACATATTTGTTTATGGGCCAGCTGAAGGACGCCTCCGGGTGCGGGAGTTTCTCGCTGCATTGAAGACCCATTGGTGGCCTTCGGCTGCTCTATGGTCGGGTTGTTGTCTCTTTGACACATTCCCCATTTCCATTCTCAATTTTAATTTTACTATTTGTATCCATCTGATGAGTTATGCCTTTTTCCAACTGTTTTTTGTAGTTGGTTCTTATGTTGTACTGTTACGCCAATGTCCCAGGTTAGGGGAGGGTTGGGATTCCGCTAACATGTTTAACCCCATCACAGTCTGTATGTATGTGCCTGTCCCAAGTCAGGAGCCTGTAATTCAGTGGTTGTCATATGCATTTGTTACATAATTGTTTTTCGTTCATTTTTTGTACATAAATTAGGCCTTTACTTTTCTTGTTTGAATTGTTTTACATTTGTCATTTTATAGCTGACTATACAGTATGGGCTATGCTCATTGTTAAAGGCCGTACGGTGACCTATAATTGTTAATTTTTGTGTCATTTGGTTCTTTGTGGATAGTTGTCTCATTGGCAATCAATGAATCATACCACATCTTCTTTTTTATAAAGTTAGAGAACGAACGGAAACATGATCTGTGTTTAGTGATAATAAGCATTGTGTTTAAGTTTAAAAACATTTGGCTGAAGCAAATGAAACATTTTTGTTTGAAATGTGTACATGTACTATTTTTTGAACTGGCATAAATTTTTGGTTTTATACCAGATATGATGTATGTAATATGTTAGCTAAATAATTATGTACTTACTGAATCCAAATTTAATCCTGATTCAAAAATAGAACTGTTTGGTTTTCTTTCTCGAAAGCTATAAACCTGATAAAATAATAATTGCAAAAGATTAAATTGCATATTTGATCACTATTTTGGCATAAAAATAAAGTTTAGGTACAAGTTTTACCAGGGGACTTTTGTTTTTTATTTTATTTTTCAATTGACCTTTATATCTAGGGCTTCTGTATGCATAAGTTTGGGACTGGGTTAAATTAGTTAGATCTTTGAATAAAACAACTGTAGCTATATATGTAGAAATTTTATGTAAAACAAAATCATATTCAGTTTGATATTATTGTAGTTTTACTCTCATTATCAAAATTTGAAAGCTGAAATAGAATAATTATAGGTTACCAGGGGCATGTTAGGAAAAAAAGTTAAATTTTTCACAGGCAATTTAACAATTGTAAATATCTTGTTTTCTGTTTTAATCTATATAATAATATACCTCAGACTGTACATTCAGTGAGGCAGGTGGCTCAATATCAGAGTAACTGGTGTCTGAAAATGTATATAACATACTTTTTACAAAAATATCTTACACAATGCTGGGTACTTCATGACATTATTCACTTCTATATACTTGCTTTTAACTTTTACTGAATTTTCTTATGTGATAACATAAATTATACTGCAACTGTACTATTTCCATAGTAAAAGTATTAAGTGTTTAGAGGTTTGCTTTACAAAAAAATCTCCATAGATTTCACTACTTTTGTTCATTTATGCATGCATTAACATAATGACTAAGGAGGCAAAAATTCCATATCTTCCCAGAAGATATATACATATAAACTCATTGTTAGACACAAAAATATTATTCATATACATGTATGTATAATGCAAGAGCAGTACTATTTATACCAATATTATCGTTGGACACTCCATGCCAAGTGATCTTACTGTACATGTACATGTACATTTAATGCAAGTTTGTGGAGTATTTACAGGTATACATAAATTCAGGTTTTTGCAATTTTCCTAGGCATATTTTAAAAAGAATATAAATATATATACTTTACCTTGATCAGTACTTATGTTCTTGGTAATCTTTGTGTAACACTGGTAACAAATACCTTAAAAAAAGACAAAAATATCCTTTTCACATCAATTGTACAATGTTGAATACTACATCTAACATAAAGGTAAATTAGAACAATAATACATAACATATTCAATATTCAGATCCTCTTTGTATTTGATTTTAATTTATAAACATGTATCTTATACCCAAATAAAAAAAGCATGTTTCTTAACTTCCATTTTTCATGTAAGACATGTAAGATTTATACCACAAAAGAAATCTGTTTTACATTGTACATGTACATGCATATGTATATCTAATTTTTTTGACTTGTTCAGTCCAGGTTTATACTAGTATAGCTTGGTGTGTGTCTGCTCAACATTTTATATTTGGTGATGACACATTATCCTTTAGTCCATTTCTCTAAACCTATTTAAATTTTTTTCTAGAGAATTTGCAATATAAATTTTATTATAGTGAACCCATGGCTAGGTTACCAACTTTTATGTTCAGACCTTTTCCTGCTTAGTCCAAACCAAAATAATAAAAAAAGTGGTTGGATTTCAAGTTTTCTGCATTATGACATACATGTATACATGATAAGGTCTGAGAAAAAAGGTTGGGGATGACAGAGTGTTAGACAGTTGCATGTACATGTACATGCATATATATATGTATATGACAACTTTGTACACCACAGTCTACAGGTACCATGCCAGACTATGCTAATGCACATGTACATTTTAATCATATCTTGTTAAATACAAAAAAACATGTACATCATGCATCTTTATTGTGTTCTAATAGAATAAATATTTCTTTATTTGTTTTTAAGTTACAATGCCTACATCATGTACATATACACATAGCATCAACTGAACTGTACTTCATTTGAAAATTGTATAGTCCATTTATTTTTCAAGAATTATTACTTTTAAAATAAGGGTTGGTGATGTAAAATTATCACACAAGTAATACATTATTCCACCTAGATCACACCTAATTGTGTAAGTGTTGTGTTTGATGTTAATACAGTTTTACTTGGGATATCAATGATAAAGATACATGTATGTACAAACAATGAAGTAGGACAAGGATGTACACATGTGTGCCCTTAAAAAAATATCAGAACTTTTATATGTATAAATCTTTTGAATCTATGTTTTACCTTAATGAATCTAAAGCTTTACAGGAAGAATAATAAGTTTACAATAAATTAAGTATTACCACTGCCAACAGGGAGCAACACTCCATGGTCCTCTAGGATCTTCCTACTTTGCTGGCTGTTAACTCCTCTGAATGTACGTCCTTTCCCATTGTGAAGTGGATGGGTACATACTTTTGTCTGTTTAAATGCAATTCCAAGTTTTGCACGGTGAAGTGGGCACACAGACAAAGAATAATTGGTGTTGAAAAGCCCAACACGACGACACAACAAGTCTGCCTCACACATAATGTCATGATGAACTTTAAAACCTCTTTCAGTACTACCCACACTCAAATTTAGTGTTCTTAAATGGTTAAAAATGTCTCTGTTGCAATCTACTAGTTTAACTGGTTGGTTTTCGAGTGGGAATATACTATAAATTCCACATAATTCAGAGTTGTAAACAGCAAAACTACAACGAATGGACATTTCACTTCCAAAGTTGTGAAAGGACCTGCCTTTGTGTAAAACTATCTAAAAATATCTTCACATTGTGTTCAATGTCTTATTAAACAGAGTAAATAACAGTTAAAACAGTATGAAACTTGTGCATAATCAAATAAACCCAGCAGACGAAAATCTTTAAAAACAGGAAGTGTGTCAATGTAAACATTACAGTTCAGGTGTGAATGAGGGAAATATAATGTTTTTTATTATTTACACATTTTCATTGAATATGAACCACTCAGTATGTATATAATAAGGCAGAAAATGGTACAAAAATATGTTTATTGCCTTAAATCAATTAAATTGAATTTTTTGTGTCACATGGCAACTGTTGGTATGTAAGAGAAAGTTATCTTTCTAAGAAAGAGTTATCTCCCTTAGACCATTTTAAATAAAAACAGAAATCAAATTTACTCAAAATTAGTACTAGGCTACATATTTTATTTTTTGATATTTTTTAAAGAAAATTATTCTCTTTAGTTTGCATATAACCCTTTTCCTTAAAACATCCGGTCTTGGGAGGAAATAGTGAAATTATTATACTGGAATAAGTGGGGAAAGTTCATATTTTCTCAATATTCAATATAGCACCAAGAAAAATATACTTTGTTTAATGGTTTAATATTACAAAATTAAGTACAAACTTCACAAGACCTTTCAACACAAAAAGTATTGTTGATTTCTGTGATACAGTGTGTATCACTATTTCATCATTGTGCATGATTCTTAGCCAGACTGCTACTTAAATCCTTATTTTGATATACTGTTGCATGTTACTGCGTTATATTCCAATACTTTATGGAAATTAAGTTATTAGATTTTGAAATCTTAAAAATTAATATTAAGTGTCGTTTTAACTAGTAACCAACATTCATCTAATCCAGGCGAACCAATGATAGTGCCTGGTCTGTTGGCTGCAGTTATATTTAAACAAAGCATTAATTGAAATTAATATTATTTAAGAATGATTTCGATTTGCCATTTACAGACAGGATGTTGTGTCTTTAAATCTATCTGCAATTGAAGACACTGCCCAGAGTTTGAAAAGGCCCTATTTTGTATTCTTACCTGACAAAACTCGACATAATAACGACAGTACTTCACTATACCTAGCTGTACTCAACTTTGGTCTCGACATTGCTTAATAAATCTGATCGAGTACTTGATAATCTATCTAAGTTTAGTCTGAGTATGGTCTCGACAAATGCTCGACCAGTCTGTAGCTGTTTCGACTCAGTCTTCACCTTTAAATTAAGTTTTGACTGGTCTAAATAATGAAAACAACAAGTTATATAAATTGCATGCGTCCGAAGCGTTTTTATGGATTTACCTTTATCAATAACGCTCAAAGCCAAATATTTGAAAGCAATGGGTTTATAAGAACCGAACCAATCGCAGAGCTATATGAGCTGCGTCGAATAGAAATCGACCTTATACAAATAAATATCAATACATCTGTTAACCTATTTCGGGCTGAAAAATCTCTACGGAAAGTTTGTAATTGTTTAAACATTGAATTATTATACATGTTATAAGAACCCTACAAAGAAGACCAAAATTCTTCTTTTATTTCGTGTTTGAATGTTCCAAAATTATACATGTATACGTGAACATGCATAAGGTTGATTTCTATCCGACGCAGCTCATATGATTAAAAAAAAACAACCTAATAAAATAGCCAAATCCATCCAAGGCCAACTTTGCCTGAGGGAGAATCAGTCCATCTATATCAATTATAGTTTGATCATACAATATTCAAGGTTATATGGGGTTATGCTTCATTGCTTTCAATTTAACGATTTAATTAATAGGTACGAAAAGCTGGAATTCTCAGTTCTGACTTAATTCAAATTAGAATCTGATAGAAACACTTCCTGCTTGAAAAAAGTTCGAAAGATATTTCCTTCCCGTCTTTTATAATTTTAAACTGTTAAGAATGTTGTATGTACTAATGACAAAACACAAAAATCTTCGACAAACAAAACAGTTTAATGATAATAGAATATTTAACAACATTAACAGCTTTATCTCTATCGCATATTGTAAAGGTTTTTAATCAAAAGTCGAACTGACAAATATAACATCATTTAAGACTTATCACGTACATAGAACACCGTTCATTCTACTTGTAAGTAGTTATTTAATGTATTTATTGTTATTAAATTGATTAAGTTATTATAAGAATATAAGGTCGCCTAAAGAGGATACCCCTATGTATGTTCGATCTATTTTTTGTCATTTAGTTTATTAAATGTTCTCTATGTTACGAATCGGCGGTTAAATATTATGTTTTTGTCAAACATCATCTCACTTTACATTTATGTTCACACCATGATCAAAAAAGATTAATGGCTGTCACTGTATCACTAGACCGACATTTCAAAATGGCACATAGTTTACCCTCGGTTATTTGGTTAGTAAGATTTTCTTGAATGATTATGTAATCTGATATTTGAAAAGAAATGCGTCATTAACATGTCTTTACTCATGACTATTCAAAATTTCAGGAATTAATATTAAGACAAATCCATTTGTATTGTCATAATATACAATTAAATTAATCACAATAGTTGAAATGTAAATTACAAAACATATTGAATATACTATTAGCATATAACTTTAACTAAAAATGCATTTTCAAAGTTCCATGTATTGATATTCGAAAACTGAATACAGATCAATACATAAATGTGATCAAGAAAAGTGCGTTTATAGTGCTATTTGCAATGCCCATGGCAAAACACCGAAATTAAAGCTGATAATATGGTAGTTAATTAAACGTTTATTTTCTTTTTTTTAATAATTGGAAAGAAATAAAATATATTGGTAGCCTGACGTTTTATTAGACTTCAAAATAAGGGACCGTAGACATTTAAAAGCAAACTATTGATGTCGCTGATGTTCAATGTCACCCTTTTCTTACGAAGACTACAGTACGACTATAGAACTTTAAATCGATCAGTTCAATATATTTGGTAGTGTTTTGGGGGGAAATTAATAAATTCACTTTGTACTTTCGATAAAAAATAAATCGATAAAACATAAATCGATATAATAACAGAAAAAAAATAACGAATACAACCTAAAATTGAACTTAAACGCTTAATGCCCAATCAAATATTTCTTTTTTAATTGTTCATTTGAATCGCAACGGAGATTGATTAACATAATTTTTAACACTGGAGGCTATATGTTAATGTACTTTACATTTACTGCAGAGACCTTGTTCCAAGACACATTTAAAAAAAAATATGTCCTGTTAAAAATGTTCTGATCATTATCGTAAGTGCATAAACACATAATGATAGACAAATTTCCGGTTTAAAGAAATTCAAAAGATAGCTCCTTCCTGCTCATTCATGTTATTGTTCTGAATAAAAAAATCCAAAAAAAATATAATTTTAATGCATCTAGACTTGAGAAATCCTATAATTTCATAATTCGAAACCAAAAGGTTATTATTTCGGATGCATGTTATTGCTGCTGTTCTAGAAACAACATATCTATTTATAATCTATAATTAGTGTTACATGTGAGATGGGTGTTGATACTTATGATCAAACACACAAACCGTCGAAAAACAAATATCTTACTGAGGATTTGTTACTGAACAACACGAACCTCAATAAAATTCATGAATAGTCTTGCATATTCCAAAATTATCTAATAAAAAGTCGAACTGACACAAAAATGTCAACAAGGGTTTATCAGAACGGTATTTCACATACGCAGTTAACTCTACCTGTACATGGTTATTCAATTTCTATAATCTGTTTAGATATATAAAATTGTAATACAATTGTAGTCACCAAGTTATTCGAACATAGCTCTCCTTTAGTGGATTTCGCTATCTTTATTATGTCACGTTCGGTCATATAGTTCTTAGATGTTAAAGTTTTTTACGAATCCCTTGTTTCATATCGTCTTAAACATGCAAATATGTTCACATGATTATCATATAGAATAACTGTTTTCACTGTATCCATGCGGACATTCAATTTAAGATAAGGCGTAGTTTACAATCAGGTAATTCGATTAGTGGGATGTTCTTGAATGATCCAACAATCTGATCAATAAAAGGTAATGCATCATCAAAATACTTGTACTTATGAATATTCAAAATTCTATTGAGTTATATTAAAACATGCATTGTCATCAAATGACACAAAATTTAAACAATATGTGAAATGTAAATCGTAAGTCTAATGCATATTGCTTGTGCCATTAGTATATAATCAAAGTGCAATGAATTGAAAACTGAATGAGTCAGTGTTGAACTTGTGTGTTCCTAATACAGTTAAATAAAAAAAAAAACACAACGGCTTTTAATGCGTTACTTTCAAATCCCATTGCATCACAATGAAATTAAAACTATCATTATAATGGTAGATGTGTTAAAGGTTACGATATGTTTCAGGAAATTGTATGTGTTCGTATTCAGACTGGTTTGTGAAACTAAAACACATTTTGAACTGCGATAGATAATTATGGTTTCCACTGTGTGCATTAAGATTAAGAAATGATATGCGTTTTGCGAAATAAGAAAAAAAAACAAAAAAAAAACAATCGACACTTCAATCGTGTTTGGCTATCAAACACTGCAGTCAGAATAATCGTGTGCAGGAGTTGCTTCTTCAGAATAAACTAAACGTTCAATAAGAATATATTAGATATTTTAGTCTAAATGGAAAAAGACATTTGACAAAGCACACAATTCTTATTCTTATCAGAAATACAGAGTGCAACAACAAATCTAAGATGTTTAAATAAGAAATATGTAGATCTCCAAGACAAGATTTTAGATTTCATATATTTGTTGCAAGATGTTTTGATTGTATCACAATATATTTACATATAAGCTGCGTCGGATAGAAATTGACCTAATGCAAGTATACGTATACATGTACATGTATATGACTTTGATTGATTTTGGAACATTCAAATGAAAAAATAAAAGGGATTTTGTATTCTGTTTTGTAGGAGTTCTTATAACTATTCAATTGTTAAACAGTTATAGACTTTCCGTAGGGATAGTTGCATGCCTAAATATGTTAACAGATGCATTGATATTCATTTTCATAAGGTCGATCTCTTTCCGACGCAGTTCATTTATTGTAAAGATTTGTT